ACGTTCCTCCGAAACGTCGGTTAACACCACATATACACGGTGCCAAATCCCAGAAGACTGCTTTCTTCATAGTCACCGCCGTGAAAGCCTCAAATCTTACATCCTTGCATATGTCTCCGATATCGGCGATATCTTATCTTCCAAAGTTGTTATCTTTCGTAGTTTGTGGCTGCTCTTGTTTCTATTATTGGTGCTATCTTCCGATTCTGTTAGCAAATATTTCGTCAGGTGTTTCCTGTGAGGTTAGAAGAGAATAACTTATAGTCTTGTTTTCCGTCTACAATGCAACAATATTACTTTTACAAAATTAATTCACACTTAATTCAGTATGTGTGTATTATTAAGTACTATTGAGACGCATTCCATAACCCAGCCAAGTCACATTTGTGTCTATACACTTCCACTCCGCGTGCTGTATGCGTCTGTATTGACTCAGCTGCCTCCAGCTGCAGCACCTGTGTAACCAGCCAAGTCAGCCGCAACACACACAGCATCAGCTAATGTAGTGTTTCAAAACCGCACCCCACCATCCCTCTCTCTTCACCCTCTGCAGACCGCTTCGCATTCGTGAGGTCCCGTGTTTGTATTCCTGCTACCTGACTTGAGGTGTTCAACGACTTGTTTCAGTCCCTCCATCAAAGATCGTGACAATGCCTCAGATTAGTCCAGGACACTTTCCTTCTGTATATTTTGCCATTCATTATTCAACAGCCATTCTGTCATTCGGCAGTCCGAGGTAGTAACGCATAAATAAAGTCAACTCCTTCGAATATGATTTTTTTCATTTGTTACTCTCTTTAGTTACTTAATTAATATGTCCTGGGATGCGACACCGTGTATTCTAGCACATACTTACCAACGTTTCGGAGGAAACGGCTGTCTGCAGCATGAGAGAGTGCAGATGATGAGACAGTGACAATGAAGAGAGGAGGGTCCTCAGACACGCCGGTAAGTATTTACGAGACTAGACGGCGTCACATCACTGCCCATAACGACCGCCGTGAGAACCTCATATGTCATATACACTCCGTCCATTTATGGCCAGTTTCAGCATCCCAGGCTCTAGAGCATGGGAGATGATGTTGATCACTGAATCATGAACTGGGAGGGACGTGGAAGGGTGAGTTCTGGTCTGCCCTACCTCCACCTCCTACTTGTTAAGCGATGGGAGTAGTTTCTCCAGACTTTCAAATGTTCTCATCTGTGCTGCTTCTGAAACATCTGTGAGGGGTGCGTCATCATCAGATAGTGACGTATGTCCTTGTGTCGTCATTCTAAATTAAATTCACAACACACGATGTGAACCAGAATCGCCACACTGAAGATCTCACTGAACACACACGGAATTTTCTTCCGTAAGGTTGTGTACTTAAGGTATGACGTACCATCAGGGATGTTTCAAATAAGAAATACAGGGACTTCTGCTGTCTTTAGGATAGTTTTCTCTTGTTCGTACAGACTGATCGGGCGGCATCAGATGTTAGGTTCTGCTTTTCGCGCAGAAAAGAATTTCCTGAAATGCTCAGTGATACTAAATGGCTAGGCTTGCCAAACCGCCGAGATGCTTCACTGAGAACCCCTGCACACACACACACACACGTCAGGGTCAAGGTACACTTTCACGCAATCTTAACCTGAGCACTAGATAGAGGCGAGTTGTCAGATTTGTCCCCGGACAGACTTCCTCCAGTACCCAGTGGAATTCAGGGCCTGATCTGGGCACAGCCTGCCGGGAATTGAACTCGAATTCTTCAGTTTCCAACCAGTTGCTCCGATAATTCACCGACTGACCTGTTCTGTCCTGGCTCAATCAAGAGGAGTGCAGAGGTCACTCTGTTAGCAGAGCAACAACAGTAACTATTGCAATTACTTAGCCACGCGAAAAGAATGGTCAGAAAAAAAGATATGCAGAAAAGTATCAGAAGAAAATTGTAAAGGGAAGAGATACGTGAACCATTCTAGAACAAGATGGCGTCTCCAGGGAGGGGACGAAATAATGGAGTGTTGAAAGAGCTCGCATTAATCTGAAAAGGAAAGATTTTGGTGAGAGAGGGGCGGCTGGAGACTCTAAGCCAATCGGCCCATATTAAGCAGAGACAGTGCTAGAAGAAAGAAAAGGGCGATCAATACGCTGGTCCTTTGGTTACCTGCCCGTTCAGAACCAGTGCGTTGAAACGCGTACAGCAAGAACTAGGTCTGGCTCGTCTAGCTGTAACACTGTGTGACGCCAGAAGCAGGAGTCTGTGGCCCCACAAGAGTTCATCCGAAATTCAGAATTTCGCCGAAAAAGCCACTTCCGCATCCCCCAATACACAGTTCATCACTCCAACCATCCAAATGGAACAGCTCGGGGTGGGACAGCCATAATTATAAAAAACTCCATTCAGCACCATCTACTAAATCCTTACAACCAAACCTTCCTCCAATCCACCAGTGTGACCCTAAAAGACACAACCGGTCCCCTGACACTCGCGGCAATATACCTTCCCCCAAATCAAACTATCCACCAAAAGCAATTAGAAGACTTTTTCCAATCCATTGGACACAGATTCATAGCTG